TCTTTGTCAACTTGCATTTTTGCAACTCACCTGCTCAGAAGGATCAATGTCTGTTATAATGCTACTACTAATGTTACTAAATATCAACTTGGTGATTACTCATTATCCTTAATAGAGGAACTCAGCTAGCAAATAAAGCAGATCTTGTATATCTGAAATATCAAAGCAGTTTCTAAATCCTTTTTTCTATATATATTCCTTGTAAAAACTGTGTTGAAGTCTAAGAGAAGAACATGAAAGGACAAGGATTTTTACCACCCCACTTCAACTAGCCTATCAGACTTGTGTTAATGCTTTGATGTGAGTCATGGGAAGAAATCAACATTCTGGTTGTATTTTATCAACCAACATTTAATAATTATGGAACTATTACTGATTCTCTTTTTTAAACATAGAAAATTCCGTACCACAGATACAATTACAAATGTATTTTATCACTGTATTCAATGATAAAAGAAGACAACCTTAACTACCCTCTAAAACTGAACTCAAAATATTTTTCACTAACAGCATGGATACATGCTTTAAACTGAATACAGAATAATTCATATTTAGTGTTGTAATCCCATTAATGGAATGGCATCTGCTATTAGAAGAGATTTTCCTACAACAGCATCCTCTAAGCAGTTTTACTTTTATGTTAAGCTAGTGGTGACTTAACTGCCATTTATGTCCATTCAAATCCATTAATTTATTTTATAATATAATCTCCCCCCCCAAATCCCTTTTCTTTTCCCCTTCTTCATCTCCTATTTATTTTCAGTGATGATCAATGATCAATCATGATCATGATAATTACTGCATGAATACTATATGATATTTAATATCTGATAGTATTCTACTAAGACTGAAATAATACAAATGGCTCTACATCCAGGCTTGAAGTTAGGTTATTTGTTGAGTCCCTGGTGGTTTGTTTTTGAAAGCCACCTGTGATTTGCTGTAGGAATACTAGCTTTTGTCTGTTTCCCTTTTTAATTGTGCAAGCTTCCCAGAATCATTTGAGAGTCAGGTGGTCTTCCAAATTCAACTAACAAAGTAAGTTGCTTTTACTAAGAGACCACTTAATGTTGTTTAAGGCACTTGTTTGTGAATTTAAAATCATACTTCCGTTTTGCATTTAATATCTTGATTTATTCCTCACAATATTGATCATGGCAATATTCAAGGTTATTGTCAAGATTTAACATCTAGCACACAATATACAATACTGAATTAATATTCACAAAGTGTGCTAGCAGGAACCTTAATACTTTCCTCATTTATCTTTTAAAACAATTTCTGACTTTCAGCTAGATATTTAATTTTCTTTTAGTCTTATGGCAATGACATTCCTAAATCAATTATTTAGTCAGTCTGTGTTGTCAGGAACAGAGAATTTTTTTAAAAAAAAATTAGGAAATACAACAGGTATTTGTAAACTGGTTGTTAATTCATCCATTCAGTCCAGAAGACATTCAAAGTAGCTAACAACAATAATTTTAACATCATACAGATTTTCATAAAATTTATAGAATTAACAATGGGCTAAATGATTGTCAAATGATAATTTCATCGCAAACCAGCTTGCAAAATTTGTTCCATATTTGTAACAAAGATGTATATGCAGTAGTTAATAAATTAAAGGTCTTTCATACCTTTATATTATTATAAATATAAATATTATATCAGATTATAAAGACATGAAAGCCAAGGCTATGTGCATCTGAATTTTAAACTCCAATGATCCAAGGAATAAAGAACTACTCAATAAGTTCAAATTTGTTTATAGTAATCATTACTTCTACTTCTGAATATTATTAATTGTGATTTAGTAAACAGGCTCTACAAGAAATACACCTGATAATATGCTGTATATTCCAGCCAAAAACCATTTGTTATTAAATTAGGATATGTAAATAAATACTTCAATCTATGTCATGAATTGCAAACTAACAAACCAATGTTTGCACTAAATGTAATCAAAACAGCAACATATACTCAAAGGTTTTGTAGCCAATCCTAGCTCTCTAAGAAATTGGTCCATATGAGGTAACACATGTTTATTACCATGCATTATATAAATTTAACATGTAAAGTATTAATAGTTATTTCTTTCTGTTCTGCAGATGATAGTATCTTTGGCATAGCATGTTTCTATTATTTTAGGCATAAATTTCTCAGAGCTTTTGATGCACTCTAATGCAATAAGGATTTCTTTATGGGTTCTGCAGAATATTTTTTCTCCACGATTACACAAGTCACTGCCAGGCTAATAGCTTTTCATTCATTAACAAAACACACAGAGAAGGCATAGTGGATGCATAAAACATTTCAATATTCCTAATAGTTCTTGAACTTCAGGCAATCCTTGAGCACCGAAATATAAAATGTTTGGTTAGCAAATGATTTAACTGAAGAGATTGTTGCAGTGCTCAGAGAGCCAAATCAAGGAATTACTTTATGGATAGAAAAGTCTCAGCATAAGTGGGAAAATCTGTAAAGTTTCCAGATGTCCTTATTTTAAATCATAACATTTATGTTCATTGTGTGAAGCAGGATTAATCTGCTACTCCCATACAAGATTGTTACCAGAAAGAAGGCAAGAAATTTAAATTTTAGCAGGGAATAGTTCAACATGCTAAAAGTGAGTAGAGTTTTTAGATAAATGCTGGTTGTGTAGTTCCTTCTAAATGTATTTTTTAGCAACAGAATTGCTAGCATTTGCCATTGACTTCAGATATTTTTTACAGTATTATAAAAAATTTTGGGGGGAATATGATGTGATTTGTGCTGATCTTTCTGATAATGACCATCTGCCTAAATAATCTCTCTAATAAACATCATATTACAATCTCTAAATTAATCAGAATGATGGGAGAATCTGAGCGTAGTTAAGAATGTTGGAAGTCTCATTTTGCCAGATGGAGTAGGCAGAATTTGTAGTACCGTATATAGTGCTCTACCATTTAGAGTAGCTAATCACAGTAGCCAGAATTTCAGTATTCTTGAATTGTATCTTCAACTATAAGCAGAACATTGATATATGATCCCTGCCTATTACCACATTCAAACTACAGAGAAAAACAGGATTCCTCTTATAGCCACTATCACAGCTATGGGAGACCAACAGAATTGAGGGATACTTGTTAAGTATTTATGGTTGGCCACACAGTCAGCCAGATGTTTAGACTGGATTTGGCACCCCTCGAATCCTTCCCCAGGTCCTGGGATAGGCAATTTTTGTAGTTTGATGGAGTTAAAATTATTGTCACAGCATGGAAAGCTGACTTTTGCAACTGAATGACAGTTATTTTGTCAATGCTGATGGTGTTTTTATTACTTGCAATGCAATCAATCAAATTTCATATTTATTAGGATTAATTCCTATTAAGGCTTGGAAGTTCATCTTTTGTATTATAGCTTACCATGCTGCATCTACTGTTGGTTGCCCTATGCTTCAAGTTAGTTTTTCCTTGACCTCTCATTAGGAAACGCAGTCTCAGCTTGAAAATTATGCAAAATATCCTATTCTAAATATCCTAGATATTCTAGATATATAAATATATATTTATAAATATATATCTATATATTTCTTAGGTCAAGCACTTCTGGAAACCCTCTGCTACTGTATATGAGCAAAAACATATCTCTACAGATGTTCTTTGTGTAATCAGACAAAAAGCCAAGACGAAAAAATTGCTCTGAATTATTCTTTATCTCCATGTAGTCTACAAAAGATTTCTTGCACATTTTAAAACAGATGCACTTCCTGACTGACCTTTACAAGGCACCAAACTGGGAAACCCATAAAATATTTACATCCCTTCTGCTTCACAAGCTTATCATGTATCATAAACATTGTTCATATTTAACTTTCCTTTTGGCTAGCTCTACAAAATATAATTCTTCTGTACACTAAATGCCCTGCTTAAAAAAACAACAAAAGAATAGATTCAAAAGTTCATAGCTAATGATACTTTACCTTAAATTTGTTACATTTAGCCATATCAAGTTGGCTGTAGGTTTTTCACTTCCTTACTTAATCTTCATTAATGTTTTACATTTGTGATCATATATATAACTAGAAATAAATCTAATAATGGTGAAGCAGTTAGGACAAGAGAGGAATGGAACCAAAATTAATTGTAAGTATTTGTAAAGTATTTATGCCCCTGCTGATATCAAGAGTTATTTGTTAAGGTGGGTGACTATATAAAATTCTTAAGTAAATGTATAAGACTCAGAGATGAATACAGAATTTCCTAAAAGAGAATTTACAAAAGCACTCCTGTCTAAATACATCCAAGTCTAGTTAAATTGACTTGCATAATCAAAATAGCATAAAATAGAGTAAGATTCACTAAGGACTGTTCCCCATCAGATTGCTAAAATCTATTGCCTACTGCAAAATTCTACCTATTCTCCCCTAAGTAGGAAGCTTTAATCAATCGTGGCTCCATTAGTAGTGTTTAATATTTTTTCAATTTATTTTTTCAATTTCTACTATGTTAGACATACAGTATTTCTGTTACACATAATACAAAATGATCTTATAGATCTATTTTATGCTTAATGGAAATTAGATTAAACAGCAATTCAGAGATTTACTGCTTCAGATTGAGCAGCATCTGCCTAATTCTATATCTATCTATCTATCTATCTATCTATCTATCTATCTATCTATCTATCTATCTATTAAAATCACAGTTTTCTGCAACTTTAAAAACTATTTAAGAAAAACATTCTAATTCCCTCTCATACTTCCACACTGAAATTCTCAGGGAAGTTCCAAGTTCTTTCTGCATATTCACCAGTCCAATCTTCTTTATTATTAGCTCTGCTGCAGTCCTAAACTCTCAGTTCAACTTCATGTTCCAAACTCTTAATCTGTTCCTTCTTCCTGCTTGCAGAACATCATCCTATAATAAATGTGCTGTTTTCCTTTTAATAATATATCAATTATTGTTGAGAAAAAATAAAGTTATGAACTTTAAATAAAAGAAATTAGGCAAGCTTACCGTTACACCAAAGAAGCTGGTCTGATTCATTGCATCCAAGAAAATCTTTCCAAGTTCTTTGTTGGTATAGTTAAAGTCTTCAATTTTTTGGTTTCTGTTGGTGGCATTAAGAATCTTCATTGCCTGCTGCAGTGTTTTGGCAATTACCCATATTCCATCATAAGCAAAGCCATGGAACTTACTTGGCTCAACATTTCCACGCCTTTGATCATATTCCTCTTCATACTGCTGTGGCGTCTGTAGAAAGAATGTGAAAAGTGATTCACTTTTAGTATACTAAAAAGTCCATATTTCTTTTTTGAGTCTGAAAATGAAATTACAATTAAAATCTTTGTAAATTCTTTGAAGTTATATGAATCTCAAGAAAGATGGGGAGGGGAAATACAAGGTGAGGGAAATGTAATATTTTATTATTTATATAAATGCACTATTTTACTATTTTGTAGGGTACCACCAAAAGCATACACATTATAACTAGTTACACTCCAAACTTAACAGAGGGGCTAAAATATACAAGAGAAAGAGATGGAATTAGGGAACTACATGTGTGCATTTCAGGTATAGTTATACTATGATATTGGAACTAAAAGGGTGAATTTTGCATAAGATACTTATAAGTATTTTTCACTAGTGTCAAAAAACATGGTATTATTCTCTTTGCCAAAGATTCAGTTCACAACTAAGCATTTTTATTATGTATGAATACATTTTCCCACTGTAATATTCAACAAATATATTTTTAAGAATTTTTTTTCTTTTTTTAGCTGGTAAAGCACACCTGTCTGAATTAAGACAGATTTACACAGTCAAATATCCCATATTTATCTAAAATAGCAAGCTACTCATACAGATTCAAATGTCTAGTTTTCTTCCTTATCACTTGTATAAAATAAAATTGCTTTCAGAGCTGGTTTAGACATTATATCTCATGGAATAGTTGCATAGTAATTCATGAGATCAAACTGCAGTAAAACAATATGCTGCTAATAACAATAAAAAGTAGCAGTTTATATGAGTCAAAATTTATATTTTGGCTTTCTTCCTTTTCAGTGTTATCACAGAGTTTTCTATGATTTGCTTTTACCTTTAAATTACCCCAAATTACACATAAAATAAATTATAAGTTCCAGATTTTAAAGGAAGCCTGAGAAAGAAATTCAAAATAGCCACAGCTTGATTTTTTTAATATATATCACGACAGGGAGAAATTTGGGAAGATTTTTAAAGAGGATGTTATTATACCTTACAACAACAGACTAGCATTTTCAGAATATTTGTGATGTACGTGTATTGACCTGAGATACTTCAAAGAGCGGAACTATGTTACATTAGATTCTATAACTGTTAGTAAGCAATACTCTTCTCAGATAAGTAGGCAAACACCATTTTTAAATTCTTTGTTATAGACAGCAGCTGTTGACATGGGCATCAGCTTCTCCTTGAAAGATTGGTAACCTTAGGGATCCTATTATGGTGACTACAGTAAAAAGTAAACTACATTGTTCATAATACAGATTAATTTTTTTCTCCAAACTATAGGACTGCACAATTGTAAGCCATTCCGTCTGCTGTTAGATAATTTTACACAATTTATTGAGTCTTTACTTTCCTGGGCTTTATATTTTTATGTTTTTTAGAGCTTAGTTGAAGGTGGAGACTTCTGGCAATAAGACTTGAATTTTTCTCAGAATTTAGCAGACAAAGATGTTCAGTTAAGTCTGCTTGTGGTAGCAGCCTAGCAATTATTCATTTTTTTAATAAATCATTCCTACTATAAATCTGTAATACTGGTCATCCTTCAGAGAGTCTCACATTTTCATGTCAATTCAGTAAGTGGACACTACTGGACATTCTAAATAGTATTCATTATATTAAATATGAAATGAATAAGATCTTCATTATGTTGTTTTGGACATTACTAGCCTGATGAAATTCATTGGCAAAACTGAGTTTAAAATAATTGTTTATTTTTATTAAGATCTCATAGTGCGGACAAAGGTACAAACGTAAGTCCGCTATTCATCTTTTTTTCCCCCTTATAAACTTTGTAGTTCCTCTATTTTTCTATTTGGAAATATTCCCCCGTTTCCATTGCTAAGAAAATTGTCCTATCACTCTCCCCATTCCAACACTTCAAGCACATGGGATTCCTTTATCGTTTAGCATATTTTAATAACTTAAAATCTCTTTACAGAAGCAGGCAATGTTCTTACATTGTTCTATTTATATGGAAAATTCCACTTAAGAAAAGTCTTGCAGAGCGGGTGCAGTAATATTATTGATAATCAGTATTATTAGTACTAATAATAATCTTAATTATTAATAGCTAACTCTTCACTTTTGTGCAGGGAATTGCTCTCTACAAAAATTGAAGTGTCTTATAGGAATACAGAGAGTACACCTCTAGAGTTGACAGGCTTCTCGCTTTACACTTGAACAAAACAGTCCATCTCAGACTACTATACTTAAGCACTCCATACAGGTAATAGACAGCTATCTATCAGAAAATTGTATAATCTTTTATGTCTTATTTTATATATTTGATTTCTCCCAGCTCCCTTTCAATATCATCTCTCTAATTTATTGAAATATAATGCCAGCCCTGATATTCCTATTTGAAGAATCATGCCCAATTCTCATTTTTACATTTATATAGATAACTGTATATCAATTTTAGGCCTGGGTTGCAATGTATTATGGCAAGAAATCAATGCAGTAGAAATACAATATTTTTGATGGATTATTTCAAATGCCCAAACAGAATACAATAAACTAACTTACCCTTCCAGAAATGGTTTTTATTTGTTTCGAACTGAGAGGTTCAAAATCCACTCCAATGTAACCTTCCATTGCACCCAGAAGGTTTATACCAAGACAGTGTGATGAATTCAGCTTTGGAATAGCTTTTTCCCACCAAAAGCTCTGATACCACCCAGGAATTATCCATTGATACTTAGGGCCGAACATTTTTTCATTAAATGCCTACAGTAGAAATGTGAATGAAAAGAAGCAATTTTATTGGTGGAATGTAACAGACATACGACAAAAGTATTCTACAGATGTTTTGTGTTTTTAGCTTCAAAAGCTACTAACATTTATCTTAATATTATAAACCACAGCTTGGAAAAATAAATCTATCTATTTTCATATATCTATATACAATTCAAACTTGCTGGTAGAAAAGTAAAGGTCCAATTAATTGAATCCTGCTATAATACAAACACCTTTGCATTTAATGGGCTTAAAGGAGAAGCAAAGCTTTGACTGAAGATTGCTTTTATAAATAAAATGTCCAAAAAAGTTCAGAAACTTTATTTATTTGTTGTTTAGGTTAATATGCCATTTCAATTGTCAATTGTAGAGCCTTGGTAGTACAGTGGACTAAGGCACCCTGTTATTAAGCTGGTTATTAAGACCAGCTGCCTGCAATTACTGCAGGTTCGAATCTCGCCAAGGCTCAAGGTTGACTCAGCCTTCCATCCTTTCTAAGGTAGGTAAATTGAGGACCCAGTTGTGGGGGCAATAAGCTGACTTTGTATAAATATACAAAAGGATGAAGGCTATTGCTGAGCACATTGTAAGCCGCCCTGAGTCTCCGGAGAAGGGCGGCATATAAATCAAATTTTTTTTAAAAAATTGTCTTCTCTAAGTGACTTTAAATGAGCGTTTAAAATTAGGAAAGTACAACATGGCATTTGTATCTATAATAAATAATAACTACCATGGGACTCTAGTAGTAGAACCTCACCTATTCACCAAGTATGCTTTAATTCTATCTGCCATTCTGCAATATGATCTGGCCATTTATTTCTAGCTAAAGCTCTCTTGAAGCTGGGAGAGTTCAAAAGTGCTTTTGGCTGAATTAAAATATACTGGATGACATAGATTGTTTAAGAACAAGATGATGTAGTGGAACCTTGCAGATGTATTAACATACAAATATAGACTGTTGCAGTATCCCCATGGTCATGTAATCAAAATTTGAATGTTTGGCAACTGGTTCATATTTATGATGGTTGCAGTGTCTCAGGGTCATATGATTCCCTTTTGCAACCTTCTGACAAACAAATAAATGGAGAAGTCAGATTCACTTAACACTTACCAATGAAATTTTGGGTTCAATTATGGTTGCAAGTTAAGGACTACCTCTACTGAAGTAGGAAAAGTAGAACTTTAGAATATTTAAACATTTTAATACTTATTTAAATTATTTTAAACTATCTTTCATGAAAAAATTTTTTACACCAATTTAAAAATCAAATTCTGAAATTCTCGTTATTATAAAAGATTGTCAAGTTAATTTACATCAAACATATAGCTTCAACTTATTTACATCAGGTTGCAACTACTCTTGTTGCTGCATATTTGATGTAGCCTTCCTAACTGGTAAATCCTATTTCAAAATTAAAACCAAAATTAGGAAATAATTTAAACTCAGCTTGTTTGAAACCCAAGAGTTGTCCAGTTGTTTGATTTATCCAGACATAGGGTTTAATTTAGGGATACTTGGAATAAATTTCTACTGAGAATGTCATTATAAGATTTACAAAAAAGAAGAGTAACAGATAATTCCATTTATAATTAAATGGAAAGACTCATGTTAAACTTTTTAACAGCTATTCAACACTTTGTTAGAAATGACTGAATAATTTATTGAAATTATTTCCTACCTTTAAATCTGCTATGCCAGATTTAGACAGTAGTTCTATAAATTAGACAGATTTATATACAGTAATTATTCAATTACTGATGCAACTTTATTTAATTTTCCTTCCAATTTTCACATAGTGTTTGGCTTTTATCAAAATCTACAGACAGGAGCCCTGGTGGTGCAGTGATTAGAATGCAGTATTGCAGGCTAACTCTTCCCACAGCCAGGATTTTGATCCTGACAGAGTCAAGGTTGACTCAGCGTTCCATCCTTCTGAGGTCACTAAAATGTGGACCCAGATTGTTGGGGACAATTTGCTGACAGTTGCAAACTGCTCAGAGAGTGCTATAAAGCACTATGGAGCAGTATATATGTCTAAATGCTATTGCTATATCAGATCAACTTTAACACCAGATTTCTCAACAAAAGCAGCATTGTATTCATATATATTAAATTCATTACGTCTTCACAATTCTAACTCTAACCATTTGGAATCTGCACTCAGATCAAGCAAAAATATTGCACTTATACATCAAACCAAGGAATTTTAAGGAAATTCTGCTACACTGTACAATATATGTTCCCAAAGGTGCTTATAAATATTAAACATTTAAATGAGTTAAGAAATGATTTATTTAATCATTGGGATATGTGACAAAACTTTTCTTTATCTCTTTTTTTCCCCACTTACACAACAGAATACTTTTGCTGCCATTTCCTCATTAAACTGGCCAAGGATAATTCTAACATCATTTCCCTGCAAGGAAAAAAAGAAGAGATATTAATTATAGACATTTTCATCCGTATTACTCAAAAGCTGTTGTACATAGCAAAAAAACCCACACATTTTCAATCAACAAATTTCCATGCTACATGTACCCTAGAGGGTGTAAATATAGCAGTGAACTATTGCTGCGAAACAATAAAATTCATATATAATGTTTTCAATTATCTATGAAGTGCAGTGATTATAAATACAGACTGGTTTTCTTGCGTGATTATTACTGATGTGAGGCATAGAAATTATTATCACTGTAATCTTTATTTAAAAAAATGCTTCAAAGCAGGCTATAGGACTATATCATTCATAGATGCTCTGAACCAGTGCAGTTTCATATACTAAATAACTAATAACTAACTAATAATGATGTGGGCACTAAATTTAACAGAGATGTGGAAAAGGATTATGTATTCATATTTTGTTAATGATACAATGCCAGGTTAATTACATAAATCTCTTCTTATGAAATTGAATCTAAGCACAGACGTAATTGAAATTGTTGATAATTTGATATATACTATAAAATAATATTTTGCATTTGCCTATTTAAAAGTACCAAAATGAATTATTTTTTGGTGTGCAGGGAAACTGGGTAGCTTCACCTCTAGTTGATCATCATGCAAATAGATAAAGGAGTATCATCAAAAAAAGTTACTCCATTTTTAGAATCAGAAGAGAAAACATCAAGAATGTTTCCTACAAAAATCTAGTTATGCCTTTTCTTCTTATACATAAAATGGCAATGCAAAGGAACAGCATGTTCTGTTATTTTTTCTAAAATTACATATCAATGGTTATTTTCGTTTTTAAAAGAAAAAATTATACCCTGATGTTTCCAAGGGCAAATCAAACTTGCTTGAAAGTAATTTTCTGTTTTTATCACTAAAATTCAGTGTTTCTCTAATACATAGCAGATATGAAATAGTTATACTTTAATAATATTTTAATAATTGTATTTTATTGAAATTCATTTCAATGAATTTGTGAAAGTCTTTTGCAAAAGGCCTTTGTGTTTGAAAGATGAAGACAGGCAAACAGTTAAATAAATAGATATTCAAGAAGATTCTCCTTCATGGTATGAAATATGTTAACTTGGTCAGACAGAAATAGAATTCAGTACAGGTAGTCCTTAAAGTTACATGGCCTTGAAAAGGGTACTTTAGAGCCTTTAAAGCACTCCTGGCCATCTTAAAATATTGCCCTACTGCCCCCAGGCCCACCCTGCACATGTTGAAGTGATTGGGATCTGAGTGCTTGGCAATTGTTCACATAATCAGTTGCCAAGCACCCTGTAATTATGTGATCACTATTAGCAATGTTCTGTGCTAGATTTGCCAGACAGTCAATGGGAAAACTGGCAGGGAAGATTGCAAGCCACCTGCTAAGAGGACTCCCTCTCATATCTGGGGACTGGCTAAAAGACCTACCTGCTGATTTGGTCTTCGTTTTTGCACTTGACCAAATGAGTTCCCTTCCATGTGCAGAGGAGAGCTGAACTCTTTTGGTGGGGTGCAAAAATGGAGCTTAGATCCTGAACCTCACCAAAGACATTCCCTTCCACACATGGAAGAGAGATGTCATCCTTCAGTAGGCAGCTCTTTCAGCAGCCCCTAAAGATAAAAGGGAGCTAAAGCAGAGAGTGGAGAGGCAGCATCATAAAGTAAGCAGTGCAGGGTTCCTCAGACAAGCAAGGGAGGTCTTCGGAGAACTGATGTAGGCCACGCATGAGTGTTTCTTCCTGTTTGGATTTTGGCAAGGAGAATTTTCAGCTCCTTTGTGAAGGCTCCCATAGTTTCCCACCCACCCAGGACCCTGCACTCACCTGAGAAACCATGCGCTTAACAACCCGCACAATTACATAATGACCACAACCAAGAATGCCAAGATTGTAATCATTGAATGAAACAGTCATGTGGCAGTCATGTGATATCTTGCTTAATGACTACTTTGTTCAATGACCAAGATATCGGGCTAAATTGAAGTTGTAAACTAAGGATCACCTCTATATTTCTGAACATAATAGGGAGATTTGGTTCTCATAACCATAAAAAACATTAACACTTCCAGTAACACTCCAAATTGGAATTGAGAGTTCACAAGATTATGTGATTCTCCGTGCCAGAACTCACATAGATAATAATCCTATACATATAGTCTTCATTTAATGATTGGTTAAGACTGGAAACAGATGCAACCCTTGGGTGTATTTCCCAAACATCTGGAGTACCACTTGAACACTATTGGCATCGACAAAATCACCCTCTATTAATTGCAAAAGATAGCTTTATCTGAAACAGCTTAAGTTCTGCAACTATATCTTTAATATTATTATATAATATTATCTGCCCATCCTTTGGCTGACTGTGTGACAAACTATAACAACATTGACTGATACTGACAATTTTTGAGGAAACCTGTTCTAGGCATACTTCAGAACAATTAAGAGTTGCTTCTAAGTAATATGCTTAAGATCACAGTACTATCCTCAGAGTTATTCTGATTCCTTTTTAGTGAGTTTCTACTAAAAATAAAACCCTTTAAGTATTTCAGTTATCCTCTCTAAATAATCAGTTTGCAATTCTTTATGTGGACCAATAGGTACAATTTCCTATTCATTGTTACTCTAATTTATTTTTAGTACTAATCCAGGTTCAGCAATACTAACTTGACTAGTTTGATTACTCTATAAAGTTCCTGAAAATGGAGTGGGAGTTCATTATAGGAAGAAAAACCTATTCAATCTGTTTTCTTAATTTCTAATTGCAGCAGTTTCCTGTTCTTGGAAGTATCCTGAAATTGGTAAGGCTAGATTCTGGGCACCTTCTAATACTGTTAATCCTATCCTTAAAATTTAGAAACAAAGAGAAAAAGGGGGTAATGTTCCAAATTGTTAAAAGAAATGTCAAATGGGAATGCTATTGTATTTATCGGCATGAACTGTCATCATTTCTTCTATATATTAAAAGATAGGAATGTTAGTATTCGTGTGACACAGAGACTGTATTTGGCAGTCATGCCAGAATAATAAACAAGATGTTAGGCTTTGTGAGGAGTAGGGAACAGAGGTCAGAGGTAGTAGCAATTGTTACATTCTCTGAGGACAGCCTGAAAAAAATTCCACAGAAAGATGCAGACAAAAATACAGCATCTTAATATTTATGGCTCCATGTTCTGAAAAGCTTCAAATTAAAAAATGAGATGAGATACACTCCCATCTAAGGTTAATTTACAATTTCAAAACCACTATCAAAAGTTATCACATTTATCTGAGCAAATTAAAATGGCAGAAAAATACTGCCTTAAACAGAAAATGTACATTTGGTCACTGAGATTCATATATCTCAGGTTTTTCCAATAATATACAACTTCCAAAACAGATTGATATCTATGCTTTGCAGAGAAGCCCCCCAAATAAAAAAGTTATAAATAGCATTAAGAGTTTTGATTTGTATGCCCTATTTCTTTCTTCAGGAAAGTGTACTGGGAAATAAAGTGTCAGTCATCTGGAATAATTTCTGCTTCCTACTGGAGAGCCTTTATCTTTTACTTCTGGTCAATCCTTAAGGGCGAATATGTTAAAAATGGATATTGCAAACTACCCACTTAATATCTAGACAGCATATAACATTCATTATCGCAAAAATGATAACAACAGAGACACAGGACAGTAGAAAGAGAATGAAAAATATTGAAAGCCAATATATAATAAACAGGCAGCTTAAATTTATTTAACATTTATGGTTGGTTATGTTGTTGATTGATGGTGCTGAAGGTGTTCCAAATATTTTGGAACATAACTCATCATGATTGTCTTTATACTTCAACAAAATTTGGTACCTGATATTATTTTGCAATTTTTGAAAGAAAAAGAAATTAAATTTGTAAAATGTGTAGCACACAAAGCTTGGTCCCATTACATATAATTCTGCTGGGAATTTGCTTGTAACTTTACCAATTACATTTCTATGTTATTATAGACTTTAATATCAAATATAGTTATTTTATATCATGACTATAATAGCAACTAACATAAATACCAAAACCTAAAAGGAAGTTTTCAAACCAAGACCTATTAAAATGGCTTATTTTAAACTACTGGGGGTTTTTTTTCCTACGCAATTAGTTTTTTAACTTAGCAAACTACTTGCACCTACCTTAAGCTTTTTGACACTTGTACAAGGATCATTAGAAAAACTCTCTGTATCTGATATTTCAATATCTTCACCATATAGAACTCCAGTTAGATCATTCCGTACCTATTGTAGAATGGAAAAACGACAAAATAAATGTATAGGGTTTTTTATACAGAGCATTTTAATGTCTTGTATGATAATACTTTACAAATTCACCCTAACTTAACATTTAATATAGGCATTTTATATGAAATAAAATGAAGAATGAGAGGTTGGTTTTTCACATAAGTACAGATAGTCCTCAAGTTATAACCCTTCAGCGACTGTTCTAAGTTGCAGTGGTGAGTGAACGCTGAGCGAATGGTGCTTATACCTGGTTCCCAAAATTACTGCTGTTGCAGAACCTCTGTGGTGTTGTCATGTGATCAACATTTGGGAGTTTCACAGCAGGCCCACACAATAGATGAAGGAGCCCTTGAATTCCCCCCACCTGCCTACCTCCTCCCTCAATTTCTGCCCTTTGAGGCTGAAGTAGAAACCTGGGGTCTTCAATAGCCTCAGATGCCTGCCATTGACATCGGGGAGTTGGTGTGGGGATGAAGAGGAGGCAGCCCTTTGCTTTACAGAGGCTCAGGCTTGGGAGAGATCAAACTGGGAATGACTTGGATCAGGGTGGGTCCTCACCTAGTGACCAGTGGTATTTGTTAACAATAGCAACAGGGAGTGCTGGGTTTATTGTTGCTAAGTGATGCAATTACATGACGTTGTGCATTATTGTGAAATCATTTAGCAACAGAAATTCCATTCCCAATTATCATTAAAACTCAAGGACTACCTGCAGAAGTTAGATCCATTATTTAGCTACTATTGTGAAAACAAATAATTGTAAACTGTGGAAAGTTATTCCATAGAACTGTATTGCATCGCTTCAATCTGTAAATCCCAGATAAATTCTGCATTAACCTTAAAACACAAACTATGAACTGGAAATAATTAAATGCAATGCTAAATATTACCCCTGAATATATGATGTACAATTTTCACACATTTTTCTTTATTAATGCATTCAAAAAGTTCCATCGACACTTTAAATTGTATTGCATTTAATTTTCAACGGAAACCTGTTAACTATCATATATTTTACAAACAAAGTATATTAGACTCAGCTTCATTATAAAATGATTTGTGTATGTCTACTTGATATGTAAAAGGAATTTCTTATTTTGTGAAAGTTCAGAAAAAAAGAAATTATAATAAACAAGACTAGAACCAAGCCTATACTGTAATTAATGAGATTTAAGTTATATGACTATCCATATAAATCACCAGTGATTCTGGATGGCTACCATTGTATTAAAATAATGTAATATAATCAATAATAATGGAGATAAGACAAAACATATGTTCATAAAATCCAATAAGTATATCACTGATGGCAAGAACATATAACTACCAAGCCCAAATTCACAGGGAGAAAACCAAGTTTTTGATGCCTTCCAAGAGACTATTAGGATTGGATTCCATCAAATTTGAGGGCAAAGATCATCCCAAAGAGAAGATGCTGCCGTAGAAAAGACACACTTCCTAGAGCTCACCATTATAGAACAAGAAAGAGACATGGAAAATGCTAAACCTGGAACAACATATGTAATGACCTAATATAACCAAAGACAGATAGTCCTATACTGTACTTATATACATGTCCAGATGTGTAGGTGTATGTACAAAGTGAAGTGCTGGATAGCTTCTGCCTTTTGGGATCAACTATTAGCAATAGAGGAAATTCCTAGTCAAATACTCTATGGACTAACACTTGGTATTGAAGCAACAAGGCTGCAGCAAAGATATTCAAATGTTGTGATATATTTATATGTAGAATTGTAACTTAAGAAATATTTTAGGATGGGAGAGTTAATATATAAGAGGAGATATCTCATATGGGGAGGGGGCTGTAACTACTTTTTCAGTTATTTATCCACTAATCTTTTCATAGTTACGTTCTGCATCTTTTTCCCCTCCAGTCTTTCTTAACCAGTTTTGCTTGATGCCACTGAATTTGATTTCATTATTTATTCCTAAAACGTCAAAATAGGAGAAATTATCACAGCTCATAATATGACCCCATAAAAGTGACAGGAAATTTGACAAGATACATTTTAATAAAAAACAACTCATCAGGCCTTTCTAGTTGGGTCAGGCAAGAGAACCACTCATATATCATCTTGGTTGCATTAGCCAGAACTGAAATGTCTATGAGCATGCCTCTTTACAACCTATTGCTTCTACATGCCTCATTAAATAAAATTTACCAGGAGGAAAACATGCCTTCAAAGCTGTTAGGGGTGAAGACCCTGTCAGAAGGCGTACTGCCCTCAGTATCACTGCATATCTTCCTAATGACACAAGTCCATCAAACAAAAGAAAAGATAAAAATAATTCATGTGCAGACATATATACATACTCTGGTCACACACAAAAAGAAAGGAATTTGCAGAAATGTAACCATTTATTCTCTTAAAACTACTGTGTTTATCTAGGTAAGATTTAAGTGCATATGAGTGTGGGCTTAGATTTAAATGTAAAAATTTAGGATTTATATATTGGCATGTGTTATTAAAGTCTTCTTTTAATTCTTTGCATTACTTCAATATTTTACTTTTTTAGAATACTTTTCATCCTTTTTGTTAATGACTTAATGAAGTGCATTTATTTGCTAATATGGATAGTGAGTCAGGGCCAATTTAATGGCATTATGGGCCTCGGGCAAAGCAATGTACTGGGGCCCCTACGACAACTACTCACAGGAATAAAAATGTAAATGGCCGATAAAATTAAAGATATATTTATTTTATTGGCGCTTCCAACAAAATCGGTGTTGAAACATTAAAAACATGCGGGCTCATCTCATCATCTATGGAAAAAAATCAGTGTTAATTTCTATTAATGCATCTTAGTATTAATAAAAAAAGCAGTAAAATGTAATAAATATGCTGCTGTATTTATATGATACAAGGTGCATTGAAGGGTTAACATACACAGATTAGTATGGGGCCCCTATGCTTGTGGGCCCACGGGCAAGTGCCCATTAGACCCATGTGTTAAGACAGCACTTTAGTGAGTAACTCTAATATCTAAACCAGCAGTCACAACTTCATCAGAATTCATGTGATGTAACTCATCTTGCTATGAGGCTAATCCAAAGAACATCCTGCATCTTTTATCAAGGCACCCTTTGGGTGATGTACTGCCCCCTGAACCTGGCAGCCACATTTTAGAAAAAGTACCCAAAGAGTATTGTACAAAAAATCAATATAACAGTCATGATAGTGTGATCAAAGTTTCATGTTCTGTGCTAAAATGTGTTGAGCTTCACTATACCACTGGGGTTGTCATCTTGATTTTTTTTTAAAAAAAAGCCTCATGCCCTGTGATATGACTGACTCTAGAAATAATTAGGTTCAGAACATAAAATGCCACAATTAAGTAGTTATCAATAACTTATAATGTAACTTTGCATGATCATATACAAATTTAGAAGTTGCATTTATTTGGCTTCCCTCACTATAAGCACTTAAGGCAATTAAAACAAAATTAACCCACTACAAATACTAAATTATCAATACATTAAAACTAATATAAAATTATAATTTACATAGCATTAATATTTTACATGATGTACTAAATTATGATAAATTCTTTCACTTATTGATAACAGAAAGCTGAAGTATAGTGGTATTGAAAAAGTCACTTATGACCATTTTTCATGCTTACGACCATTGTGGTGTCCCTGAAGTCATGAGATCAAAATTCGGACACTTTGCAACTGGTTCAAATTTATGATGATTGCAGTGTCCTAGGGTCATGTGGTCCCTCTTGCAACCTTCTTGACAAGCAAAGTCCATTGACTCACTTAACAACAGTGTTACTAACTTAACAACTGCAATGATTCACTTAACCACTTAGGCAAGCAAGGTTGTAAAATGGGGCAAAATTCACTTAACAAATGTCTCACTTAACAACAGAAGTTTTGGGCTCAATTGTAATCGTAAGTTCAAGGACTATTTGTATTTATCCAGCAGCTTGTACTTATATCACTAGTTCTAATGTTTCATCATATTACTAATGAAATTCTCCCCAGTATCTTTGTGTAGTAGAGAGAAACAAGCATTAATAAGGATGCAAAGATATAATTAGAAGAAAGAAACAGGAGAAAGAAAGAAAAAACAAGAAAAAGCCCAAGAAAACTAAAAACAAAAACAAAAACCAGAGAACTCAAAATAAAAGGAATATAACAAAAGGAATTGGAGAAGATGAGGAAAAAGACCAAAAAACAAACAAACAAACAAACAAACAAACAAAACACTTAGAGATGCAAAGTGTTGGGGTTTTTTTCTCAAGAGATAAGCCATTTCAAAAGTTACAATTCAGTAATTTTACCAGACTCCATTGTGAGAAGAAAAAGTGTGCAAAGCCTTGAAAGATATTATTTTCAATGTATAGAAATAAATGCAAAACAGACATATCATTTGCAAGTTTTGGACAATTGCTGTGAGCACTTGTATCTACACACACAGCCATTTTGTTTCACTGGAGCACTATAGAATATTTCTAGAATAACAGAATAACAGAGTTGAAGGGACCTTGGAGGTGTTTTAATCCAACCCCCTGCTCAAGAAGGAGTCCCTATACCATTTCAGAAAATGGTATAATGATCTAATCTCTTCTTAAAAACCTCCAATGTTGGAGCACCCACAACTTCTGGAGGCAAGCTGTTCCACTGATTAATTGTTCTAACTGTCAGGTTGGTTCTCTTCTTGATTAGTTTCCATACATTGCTGCTGCTTCTTCTTCCTCTTTTTCTTTGTGGCAGCCCCTTAGATATTGCAACAGTGCTATCATGTCACCCAGTCCTTCTTTTCATTAAATTAGACATAACCAATTCCTGCAATTGTTCTTCATGTTTTAGCCTCCAATCACCTAATCACCTTTGTTCTCTGCACACTTTCTACAGTCTTAACATCTTTTTCATATCATGGTGACCAAAACTGGATGCAATATTCCAAGTTCAGTCTTAGTACTAACACTTCATGTGATCTTGATTCTATCCCTCTGTTAAGACAGCC